ATGTTGTAAATGTATTATCTTTTCAATTTACACACGGCATCTATTGCACGTCTGTCCGTCCTGGGAGAGGGATCCCTCCTCTGTTGCTCTCCCTGAGGTTTCTCCCATGTTCCCCTTTAAACTGTGGGTTTTCTCTGGAAGTTTTTCCTTGTACGATGTGAGGGTCTAAGGACAGAGGGTGTCGTATTGTCATACTGATATTCTGTACAAACTGTGAAGTCCACTGAGACAAATGTAACATTTGTGATATTGGGCTATATAAATAAACATTGATTGATTGATTGATATTATTCAGAAGAGTTTCCTTTCTTAGTTCAGCAAAAGAGATGAGGAAAACTACAAACCTAAAATAATAATATGCATTTAGAAGTAAACTAAACACTGTCTCTGTGGGCAACAAAACACGTGAATCTTATTTAGAGAAACTTTGTTCTTATCTCTCCGACTTAAATTGTCTTTAGTCCACATGAAACAGCACCCAAGAGCTTATTTGTTTAACAACAGAGGAGCCCTGCCTTTATCAGAAAATGTGCACATGACTGAGGAGTGCTTACTCACTTGGTCTCAAATATACGGAAAAACAAACACACACAAACCTGACTTCCACTAGGTCGTTGGGTTTGTAGCTGGGATGCAAGAAGAACCAGACTTTCTTTACAAAGTGGTCGATGCTGGGTTCCCTCCTGGAGCCTCTGACGTACACCATCCACTTGTGGGTCGACTGGTCATTTTCTTCCCGCTTATCTGGGGGAATGTACCTGAGAGTGAAAGACAACAATCGATGAATTGTGGAATCGAAGCGGATCCAAATAGAACCTGCCAGGGAATGAAATACATGAAATGATTAATAAGTTGACATTAGAGGTAAATTCAAACAAATGTAATTGCATTTATTTGTTATTAACTGTCTTTAACAGGTTACATTTTTCTAACTTAACTATTCACTGTAGATTCAAATTCAACAAATAGACTAGGCTTTAAAACGTGCTTGTGATGGAGATACATGCCAATTATACAGGGGCAATTACTCATTTGAAATAACAACCCCTCTAGTGCACAGTTCACCTGTAGTCTGGTCAATTTTATGTACAAATAGGTTCCTACCACCATTCCCACCACCATGCAGAGTTGCTTCCTGTGATGCCTGTTTTTCCATTTTTTTTAATGTGATTTTTAAATACATGGCAGTTGCATCACCCATTTACAAAAAGTAGGTTGTACATTTGTTCTTGTCAAAGATAACTACCTGCTAAAATCTTAAGTCAATGTATGCCTTTTAAATTATTTATAGGTTTTACTTTACACATCCCTTCAAAAAGGCTAAGACAAACCACTTTGCTGATTACAGAAAAAAAGGCAATTTTAGCTTTATCTTTGACTCGGCTTTCCTTTTTTTATGGTTGACCCGTTTGACTCCGAGAGGATCTTGCATTCACCTGGAGTTGACTAGTTTACAAATGTGAGCATCCAGAACAGTTTTTTTGTTGCTTCTGTCTACTTTGTATTTTAAGTGATATTAGTATATAAACTTTAAACACATAATTGTGATCAGTAGGTACATGTTTTTTCATCATATAAACAGTTTGACAACTTCCTGAGAAACTAAGTGATTCAAACGTTTGCTTAGTTTAGTTACATACCTGGAAACATTCCCCACAACAATTGTCTTTTTTGCATACAGTCTTGAGGCTTCATTTCCGGTAGGGTGGTATGTAACCCTCTGCTCAGCTCCTGAAGACAATGGCACACCAAATGTGTCCTACAACAAAAAATGGAGAACATTAAGGATTTATGAAAGATAATAAAAACGCAAGACTAATGCTGTTACCATTTTTTTTCTTTCTCACATAACCATTAACACGGTCTGCTTGGTCGATTGAACTCACCTTGCCGGTATTGCGCCCTGGTCTGCGGTCCTGCCTGCTGCCGTCCTCTCTCCATGCTCCCTCTCCTTCCCTCTCAGCCCCCTCTCCTTGTTGTGAGAGGGACTCGGACTCTGACTGGGCCAGAGACTGAGTCTCAGAGCCCTGATTGAGAGGGGAAGAGGACCGGGATGGGGACTCTAGGAACCGGCGGATGGCTGGATGGTTCAGCATGGCAGGGTCACTCTTAGAAGCATGCTAGGACACAGAAGAAATGGTGGTTGCTGCCACTGTTCTATACCACTGGCTTAGAGCAGCTGTCAATATATGAACATATCTTAACTTACCTCTGGGTGCTTTATTATTCCAGCGCTGGCATAGTAATTGGCCACTATGCATGCCCTTAGCTTGTCCATCATCCTCCTGGCTTCATTGAGTCGCTGCAACATAGCGAAAAGCAAATAACCAAAATACTCTTCTTTAAACTGTAAGCATACAACTCAAAATGTAAGTGACCATCTGTATGTCCTCATCACTGATACAAACAAGTCAATTATAGTATAATGAAAATAATAAAAGATACTTTTCCAGTCATTCAGATACCTGGCTTATCACATCTATCTCATGCTCTTTGTTCTTCATCTCTAAAGAAAACTGCTCTCTGATGATGGTTTCAATCTTCTGTACCGCTGCTTCTCGGGCTGAAGGAGTAACACAAATTAAAGAGCCGGGATCAATAAGTACAGTTACTTGTAAGCTGTCACAAGATGTACTGTGATAGGGTTCAGATCATGAACTTACCATTATGTTCAACTGCTTTGTTTCTCTTACTGTTTTGGAACAGCGAAATGTCATCATAATCGGGGTCATTGTCTTCTATTTTCCTTTTAATCCCGGACATAGCTGCCTGCAAAGAAGATGATATTAGCAAACATGCATATATAAACAGCTAATGCAAGCTAGTCACATCAATATTATATCACAGCCAGTTGTGATGGTACTTTGTTTTTTGTCTTGTTACTCTTGTATATATGTAAAGTGCATTGTTTGAGGAACCAGTGACCCAAGACTTCCATTGCATAACTACACTGTAGCTGTGTATATGACAATACAATCTTTAAGATTGGGATTTGTGATGGTAGTTAGCATCAAATTAGCCGGCTAGCAGTGAGGCTAATGCACACAGCTAACATTAGCAGCGCAACCATAGCCTTCAATGAGCCAAGTTATCTTAACAAACACATTAAACGTTAGGCCACCAGTCTGTCTATCAAACTGTGTATTTGCATAAATCCGTGCCTGTCTTTCGTGTAGCCGGTAGCCCCGTTACGTTAAACAAACGCTATCTTTGTTTGCTAATTTAGCTAACGTTAGCACACATTTGTAGACACCGATTGAATCAATTTGAAATGCAAACTTACTGGAGCACCCTGTGTTGCAGAGCAACGTCTCTGTGTGAGGCGTGTGTTTTAATTCAGTGGGAACATATCCTTTGAGTTATTCTATATCAATTTCCACACTTGTGTTTAGTAAATTGCTAAATCTCGAGGTGGACAAGTAAGCTAACTAAGTGGTGGACAGTTAGCTTTGCACTTCATCAAAACAGCCACCAGGGACCAGTATTCTACAGAACAGATGACGCTAAGGTCGGAACCGTCGGAACACACTCAATGTAAACATTATGCATTGTAATCTCTCTTTAGTTTGTTCACTATATTATTATATATTAAAACATGTTTTAAATAATCCTAGCACTTCTGGATAGAAGTCTTAATTCACTCTTATATTGGCACTAGTGGTAGTAGTCTTACACCCCCATGAATATTTTAAAGCTTTTATCTGATTATTGCATGATTTACAAGATGTAACAATACACAATAAACTCTATAATTATTTAACTTCTCTATCGTAATTTTTTTAATTTCATGATTGATTCAATGGAAAATACAAAAAGGAATCTGACTATGGCCGAAATATGTCTACAAACATATATACTTGCTTTTAAGCCAGGAGAGTATAGATATTGACTATTGACCCTATATGTATATTAAGACTGCAAATTCTTACTAAATATAGGCCTTTACATGTTTAAGTGTGACTGCAATGTTAAATAGCATGCTATGAAAAACACCTGGCATGAACTGAAACAAGTTTCTGATGAGTACATTTAAGGCATACCTAAAGCAATGATACTAGGGACATGATGTTAAGGTAAATTATGTCCCTAGTATCATTGCATTAGGCCTCTCTATCATTCCTTTAATCAAGTCCACAAGTGAACCTGTTATCCATACAGCTATGAGTTTCATTTGAGCCACACAATACATGAGTATTAGATGGTAAAAAACAATTAATATTCATCATTCTGACGCATTTCAAAAAGCATGTATGTAAAGCAATGAGCACATTTTTGTTGTTGTTGTAATTTGTAAAAAATAAACCTCTCTTTCAGCAGTGTAGATGTTAAAGATGAGTATGGATGTAAGCTGCAATTGCCATGTGAATTTAATAGATTAATGAACTGACACAAGTAAGAAATAGAGTGTTTTCCTGTCTGTGAGTGTGTGTTAGTAGTCTCTATTGATGAACGCTAAATACTTTCCATATTGTTTAGTGTGATTTGAGAGACATAAGAATCTGTGAGAAGAATTTTTGTGGTTTTCATTGAACCAAACCATAATAAGGAGAACATAAATCAACACATAAGACCAAACACAAAGGCCTTTATGTAACACAAGTTGCTCAATCCTTGAAACAATATGTGTGGTTTTATGTGCTGTTTTCTTGTTCAACACAATGGCTCATAAACAGATCACCAACATGATTGATTCATCCCTTGATGAAACAGGATGCATTAACCATTTGAAGCAGATTGATAAAGTTTGATAAGACAGTATTGTATGTATTGTACGTTTTGTATTTCTTGTTGGTGGTAACAAATATTTGACGTCTCTATTGAAATCTGTGGTGTAGTAAGTGGTGCAGTGGGTTCAAACCTTTAGTACAATTGCTTCATTTCTATCTCCCTCGTGTTTATGGTGTGAAGTTCAATATGCTGATACTAATTCAAATGAAAATGTTCAGTAAATGGTTGTGTCAACTTCATTCATTACATCTCAATCTTCTGATTTCTTTCACAGAAAATCTATTATCAGGACATCCCTCTTAGCTTAATATTGAAAGCTGTCATGAAGATAATCTACATCACCATTATCATTTGACAACGCATTCAAATACAGAACAAAACAGGTCAGGACACAAGTAGCGATACGGAAAGAAAACACTTTATTGATGTTTCTCTTACGCAAGTCAACCATTACATTTCAACATTATGCAGTTTACAAAAATCCAAAACTTTCTCGTAGTTGAACAAAGAGCGTCTGAGGAGTAAGTGGTGTTAAAATATCACATCATACATCAATAAGGACAATTTATATCAAAATGATACCATTAAATACCCCACTCGTCATTCTTTTTAATTAAGGCACATCGGGCATTATTCAACAAACTCAAGCCCCCCACCTTGCATGCAAACATTGTTTATCCATTTCGATTTTACAACAAAGTAACCTTTGTGCTTGAATCTAATCCACTTTGGTTTATAACTACATTCATATTAAAATACATCACTCAACTTTAACAGTCCGCTTTTGGGGGTTTGAGTTGGCATGCCATTTTTGCATAAGGGAATCAAAATATTTCTGTTCTCCACAACAATCAAAATGAAAGAAACACAGATCAATTGATAAGAACAATGAACAATCTTATCAAAGTAAACAATGTTTAGAGGCCTCTACATAGAAAATAATGAAAATCAATAAATCAACATATAGTGTTGTTATGTGTGACGCACACACACTCAAATTCTTTCTCTCACTCACCATTTGTCTAACTCCTTCTGACTCTTTTGCACTACCACATTCTTACCCCCAAATGTCCTCTTGTCTCCGGAGACACCCTTCAGTACAGTTGAGTTACCTATGTTAAGGACTGAGAATGTTTCTTTACAACCTATATTTCTGTTGCGCTCATTAGAGATAACGCCTGGAGGATGGCTTTTGCCATTGTGACAGTTGGAAGAACGCTGTCTGTATTGTGAGAAACAACCAACCTTTCAACCTCCAATGTAAAGCCAAAGATCTCTTATTGACTCTTGACATTGTTCTATTGTAGCAGTTATTGTGTCTTTTCATCAGAGATTTAGCAGGTAGTGGCTAACAAGAGGAGCTTAAAGGTTCCCTTCTGGTCTCACACATACGTCACATGAAAGCAAAGAACATTTACTGATACAGTAAAACAAAAAGGAAATCATTGGCTTAAGGTTCTACATTTAAGTGCACTGTTGGGGTCCTCAGTTACGAGAAAACGTAATATGCAACCAAAAAATAAGCACATTTAAATACACAAAGAAAACATACTCTTGTCTATTAACACCTACTATAGTAAAAGGTGACTTTTACTCACCGTGAGCCACATCATTCAAAACACGTCCCATTCAAAACTCTTAACCCCCTCCCTGTGTGGGGTGCAGCACTGCTACACACACCACCTAAGCTTACCAGTAAACACAAATACACACATATACACTTTGACATACCTACAGGTACCCCAAATTACATCTTTACATGTAAGTGCAGAGGTGAGAGGTGTGACCATCAGTGTTAAAACTTCTGTGAACAGAAGAACAGTCGTGTGATGCTTACACTAACAGTCATTGATATACTTTTTGGCTCCTACACATTTAGGCTCAGTCGTAAAAGTCACATACACACACACATACCCAGCATGCACACCACTTATTCAGAGCAGTCTTTGAGTTTGATCTACAAAGGCTTCTCACATCTAAAAAAACACCCATACACCAAGTACATCAATGAACAAACATTGATATGAAAAACACACACTAAAGCTACTCATAATACAGTAAAAATCCAATTGTAAAAAAGACAAACAAGTATAACTTAAGATAATTTAAAAAATAAAACAGTCTGTAATGAATGTAATAATAATTAAAATAGAGCAAAAACAAAAAAGGAGATAGCGAAGTTTGAGGTGATGACACAGCTGGAGGAGAAGGGAAATGCACACGGGAAGTGAACAAGGAAACAAGAGGGCAGAGACAACAGTGGCTGTGTTCCAATATTTTTGTATAGTGTGCACATTTTATCTCTTCTCTTTACCCTATGACCACTGATACCGTGGAAGAGCAGCTGACTGACTGTACCACATTTTTATCAAGGTCATTTTAAGTATCAAGAAAGGAGTTAAAAAAAATTGCAGTACTTTTTAATGTTCTTTACTAGTACCATGCTGTACTGTTCTGAAGGATTGCATGGAGAACATTGGGTACATTGTTATACAGTAGATCTGACCTGGCCAACTTAGTTAAAGGGCCCATGTCATGCTTTTTTGGCCCAAATGAACCAATCTGCGGAGCACCTCACACACCAGGATCCCTTGGCTAACTAACAGGGAGTCCCCATTGACTTGCATATAGCTCCCTGAGCGCTGGTAATAGACGAGTTGGGATCGCGGAGAAATGCTCTACACAGGGGGGGGCAGGAGCTCCAACAAGCCGTTTAGGACAGCGAGTGAATACCTGGTGAACACACATACTATACAGAGATGCTGTATGAGAAACCAATGTGATTTTGGAAAATTGCACAATTTAAATCTATTCTAGTAGACCTCAACAATGGAAATATGATCAGTAGAAATGGCCATGACATGGGACCTTTAAGAATATTGAATGTTGCACTATTGGGGGAGCTTGAGACTCAAGATTTTCTTTGACAAAACTATGCTGCAGCTATTGTGCATATGACAAATAAAGCTTTTGATCTTTGATTTGTCAGTCAACAAATATGTCTTCTGCTGCAGGTAGATAATTCTTGGCTCATTGTTGTCAGGGCAATTTTCTTTTTTTTTGCCTTAGGGTTTTTGTTCATCAGCACAACCTGAGTTCAATTCAGCTCATCAGAAATCTCAGGATGAGGTTACTTTGCACAGTAATAAAAGCACAGGGTGGGGTAGATCAGTTTCAAACTGTTAACATACTTGTAACCACTATTGTAATTAAATAAATGATTATTAATTGACTGAATAATGTTATAATTCATTGTCGCCCATTAATTGAATCCACCAAGAATGCAATTATGGAAGCAAATAAGTGACTTTACTTTATTTCTTAAATAAGTGAGTTTAGAATTGTTTTACCACAGCAACACAATTCCTAGGATTAGAAATTAATCTCAAATTAAAATGTACTCACAACATTTTCAATAAAATGTTTTTTTGCATTTCTATTTATTTAAAATGTATGATAATCAAATCCCTTTACTTCTATCATTTAGGATCTGTTAATTCCCAACAATGTGCAGTTACTGTTAATGCAAGGCACACCTGCCATGTTGATCTGACTCCACTTTAGCTCAGGTTATATACAACTCATCATCAACCCATGTTAATTTCTACAGATTGGATTTAACTTTGATACACAACTGCAAAAGATTCACAGCACCACCATGAGTAACCAGAAGTATTGCTACATGATGCTGTGGGAAAATAAATGTATGGTAGCGGT